GGATCTTAACTCAGACTGGAGTATGATACTGGTGGTCAACTAGAGAAATGCAAGATATGGCAGTAGCAATGGACAGAGAGAAAAATCAAAAAAATTTGGTAAAATTGAAACTAACTTGTTCCCTTCTTTCAAGGTGACTGCTTGCAAGGGTGTTGAATGTTCTATACACTTTTTTGAACACAGAGCATGTTACTGGAAAGACCGAGATAATTATTCTTGATTTAATGCATTTTTTTTGCCTTTGTGAGCTATATAGAAACAGTGGTTTACAACATGCGATCTGCAAACTCCCAGGGTTCCACAGATGACTTCCAAGGGCTTCAGCAGAGGTAACTAAAGAACAAGCTGTTGTCTAGTCCCTATCCAAGGATCTTCTTCTCTCTAGCAAAGTTTATAGGGGTCAATGAAGAAAACTCAAAACCACTGCATTTACACTATTACTATTACATGAAAAGAAATGGATGATACTTTTCCAATTAGCACTTCCATGGATGACTCAGCTGCTACTGGCATGATACGTAATTATATTTTCAGAGTATCTTTGCTTCAGCCAGTACACAGAACAAGACCTGGCTATTTAATGAGCAACTGTTCAATGATTTGTGTTCTCCTGGTTGTTTAATGGGGCTTCAGACTTCACTGTGCTGTATCTTTTTGCTCTGAAGGAAGAATTGTTTGTTCCCAAAGGTACTTATTTATTGGCATTTAACATTATAAAATTTGAATATTTCACTTTTTTTTAAAAAAAACAACCTCTGAGGTGGGTGGATAAAAAATGGGGGGAAATATAAACTAATTTAATATGTAACATACTTAAACCTAAACCTTTTAAGCACTTGATGTTTGGGGTTTTTTTTGTATATACAAAAAACATAGCCCCCATTGACTTCAGTTAGAGCTCTGAACACAGCACTTTCTTATATCAGGAATCACATTGATCACCAGGGAAATTAGGAGCTCCCAGGTAAACATATATAAAGTTTGCCTGGTATGCAAGGAGTTCTGGAGCAGTGGGACAGAGTCCAAGGCAGCATTTAAACCCTGGGGGCCATTTATCTGCACCACATCTCCTTGGACTCAGCTTTAAGTCCTGTATCTCTGATTTATCCAGTCCTCACCTCCACTCAAGTAAACTTCCCACTCAATCATTATCTTCTTGCACAGCAAATCCTAGGCCCTAGAAAATCCAAGATAAATGGACCACAGACATCAGCCCTATGTACACCTTGTTGCTTGGACCAGCACTGTTACCTCTCCCCTTGTCTCAGCATCACTGTTCCCACTGCCTTTTTCCCTTTCTCCCATGCCATCTCAGCCAGATTTGGCCCCACATTCTCCTTGTGGGTAATGCCCAGGTCCCCCAGCTCTGATGCTCTGTGCCAGCTTCTACTTGCAGTTTACTTCATCACCAGTGTTCTCCTACTATCTCTGATGCTGGTTTAAACCTTTCGTCCCTCCTCTTGCCACCTCCGGGACCAATTTCCACTGTTCTGAGGCTCCCGCTTTCCAGCAGCTTCCCATTCCCTCCATAGTTCCAGGCAGGGGATGCTGATTGGAAACTAGGCTGTGCCTCCCTTTCAGTTCAGATCTCAACATTAAAAGTGACCTGCCACAGAGCCTTGTAAAATCTGTATGGGGGAAAAAGTTATTTTAAATTTGGACTGGAGTGTGCTCAAGACAGACAAATCATCAGGGAGTTTAGCTGCTAAAACTGTGAATGCTTCTGTTGAACATTTGTGAACGACAAACATTCAAGGGCCTTCCTCTGCCTGAGTGATCTGTGGCTGGATTTTCTGAAGGAATGTAAAAGAGAGAGCTCTTTCAGCAAGACCACTTCTCCCTCCTCCACCCAGCCCTCCTGACTGCAAAGGCCAAATCCTCACTCCAAACTCCTTTGACCTGAACAAGATAGACATTTCACTTTCATCCTGTATCCGAAAAGTACAGCCATGCATATGTAGGTGTACCTAGTAGAGCCAGACGGCTCTGAACAGCTCAGTTCTAGGAGCTGAATTCAGAAGTTATAACTGGCTCTAAATAAGGCTTTGTGAGGTGTGCAGACAACTTTAATAATACCTGGAGTCACCAGCCTCACCTACAATAACTGATTTCATTTGAAGAAATCTATACAAAAACTGTTTCTGTACAGCCTACAGTAAACAGGCTTTTGTTTTATCCTCGTCCTCCCCATGTTAATTGTGACAGATACAGCCTGACATCATTGTAATCTGGGAAACAGATAGTTAGGAGAGAAATTGCAGCCACACCAGCACCTAGCTTTCATCTGACTTCTTTTTGCTCTTTGATCTCTTAGCTGGCTAATTAAGAAGCTTGAATCAGCACCCTGCCAAAATATGTTGTGCCTTATTCCATACCTGTGGTACTCACGTTTGGTAAAAAGGTACTGCTTATGAGTCTTTTCAGCTCTGTTCATTTAGGTGACCGTATAAATGTGTACTGTGTTCTACTATGGACCCTCCTCTTTCTTCATTTCCTATTTTAAGATGGATTGAGGAGGGAAAAAATATAAGCCTTGACATCACATTTTGCAAAGGAAGCAAATGCACTCCTCCCTAAGTCTAAATGAATGGCCTTTTAAGGTGACTGCTGAATTAAATTCCTGTATGATGAAATCAACAGGCATGAGAAAGTTCTTATTTCCGAAAAAGAAAAAAGCTGCAGGGGAAAAAAAAAAAAGGAAACCCAACAAAAACCTACAGTATGTGATTGCAGGACTGAGCTGAATAGGAGCTGTTTACACTGACTCCGTAAGGATACTTTACTCAGCTTTGGTAGTAAGGTAGCTTCACAGGCTCAAGGGAAATGGGGATATACATATTCTGAGCCTGTTAAGCTTCCCTTAATGTAAGACATGTGCATTTCATTGAAGTCTTGAAATACCTCACTAAGAAGAAAGGTGATTGAAACCCCAAGCACATCTTTCTGTTTATCATACATTACATATTTCTGACATACTTTGAGCAGCACTGTGTGCAGCCAACATCAGTCTTTATATATATATGCCTGTATCTATACACAGCTAAAACCTAGTTTCTGTAAAGACCTAAAATACCCTTAAGACAGAGTAAAAATAATCTCATTAGGGGAATGGGACACGTCTGGACACTCTCAGGACAGAAGTTCTACCTGCCTGTCACTTTAGCCTTGCAGGGGGAAATCACAGTGAACCCAACCACCATGAAAGACAAAAATTAATCAGTATCCCTGCAACCTTGGAAAAAAAAAAAAGAGCCAGAGACCTCCATGAAAGCCATAAATTCCCTAGAGCTCAGGAGGTCACTAATGGTTGATTAACACTACTGAAGTGCTTTTCTATAAATTTTTCACAGGGATATCACAGAAAGACAAGAACATAATGAACATGAAATCTGGCTCCAGTTTTTTTCCTTTGCTTTCCTTATACCTGCTGCCCCAGTGTAACTCCAAAACCTGGGTCTGCACCAGAAGTTCCTCCATATCTTCCACTGTTGTGACTTCTCATGTGGCTGGATTGTTGATGGGAATATGAGCTGTAGGGCAGGACAGGTCTTGTTAGGTGTTGGTATTTTTATTATTATTCCATTAGCCAGACTTGCTTTAAGTAAGGTTAGACCAGACAATGATAAACCACTGATGTCTTATCTTAATTGTTCTCCATGTTGCTACAGGCGATGGTGCTACTCCAGAGATAACTGAATATCAGGGGAGGGTGGCTCTTTCAGAGAAGCCCAGATCTGCAGGAAGGAAGGGAATGTGACACCTTGGTATTGATTTAATTTTAAGAGAAATTAAGCAGAAAGCAGTGATTTTCCTTTTTTGAATGTAATTTGTCCTCCTACTAAAGATATTCAGGTGGTAAATTAGTTACTTGGACAGTTCAAATAGGGAAAGGAGAAGGACCTGAATGATGGCTCGGAGACCTTCCAGAGGGTAGTCACTTGTATCACAACAGGCAGGGGCACACTGCAGTCAAAGCTACTTTCTGTGTCATAATCTGGAGCTAACCCTGAACTGGATGTCTCAGCAGGGGATGTGACAGCATTACACTCTTTCAACTTCTCCTGTCTTCTTTGCTCTCTGTCTACTAAAACAGTGAATTATGAGTTTTGGGCCCTACGTATATCTTATCCATAGCAACCACAACACTTCCCTCAGATTTGCTAAAATGCAAGTCTTTAATTTAGATCAAGGAAGATAGCTCTTCCCCCGATTCTCTAATTCTGAGCTTGACTGAAATTTAAAAGTAAGCATCTTTGTCAGCATCAGGGCTTCCTGATGGCCCTTCCTATCTTAAAGCCTCCAGACACTGGTTTAGTAACCCATGACCTTTGCTAGTAATCAGTGGGAAAGCACTGAAGAAAAATTGCTGAGTGATGACTCACTCTACCACAGTTTGGTTGCTTTATCATTTTCTAGTGCTGCTGATGGGAAGATATTTTCTATTGTGAGAGGCTTGCTTTCCTGCTCCATAGGAACAATGATCCATAAGGATTTCCTGAGGAGTGACTTCTCCTCAGAATAAGATTTCTTGTCTCTTAGCCCCTGGAAGACTAATTAAATTACCCATCACCCAGTTACTTATTACCTTCCTGTTCCCTCTTGCCTTTTCAATACCTGCTTTATTGCAGAGGACTCCTCAAGTGACACAGGCACTGGGAAGCAGGGTGTGAGTAATGGAAAAACTTCATAAATCAGCAGTGGAGGAGGAAACCCATAGGACCTGCTAGAGAAATCAGGGGACCCATGTGGAAGACAGAGTGAGGGATTGCACATGGAAGGGAGCAACATTGTGGATTCAGTCCTGGCTATGTTGGCCTTCGGTGTGAACTCCAGCTTGGAACAGCTGACCCTGACAAGGGTCATGGCAGAGGACTTCTTTCTTCTCTGATCAGAAACAGTGCTTGGGGCTTCTTAAAAAAGCAAAGGCTTGACAGCAGTCAAGGTTTATCTCTTTGGGCAGAAGGCCCAAAGCCACTACATTCTTTTCCTTTTATTTACAGCCTTGGGTGAGGACTCCTCTCCTCTGATGGTCACAGATTGTAATGTTTCATTGCAAGCACAGCTGGCTGTTTTGGGCGGTTTACATGCAGGGCTGCACCTGCTAGACTGGATGCTAAGAAAGGAGATGTGTTCTGAGAGATACAAAGAGATTATCTGATCCGTGATGGATTGCGTGGCCCAAAGACCATCCTGTGTGACCTCCTGATGGTGAATATTGGTAAATATGTGTGCGTGTGTCTTTAGGTTGGTGGGGTGGAAGAGATGCCAGTCACACTGCACAGCTGGCTATTGTCCCTTTTTCTGCTCCCAGGAGGCCGGGAGAAGCAGCTGTACTGTAGAGATGCCAACCATCAGGAAAATACAGCAATTGTTTTATGAGTTTAATGCTATTTATCTTCTACTTTATTTACCAGAGACACATGCAATTTTTAGCGAAAGCCAGTTTGCCGAGGAGAAAAGTCTTAAACATTTGCTAATGTGTTTTTCTTATTAAATAGAATTGTTAATGTTTTAGAAACTTTAGGATTAAAAAAAACCCAAAAAACAAAAACACAAAACACAAACAAGGGAGGGTGGGGAGTGAAGTACCTCCTCAGCTCATGCTGAGAGAAGACAGCAGCAAGTAATGGAAAGTAGGTCAGCCAGGTCTCATCTTCTTTTTCTAATTACTTGTCCCAGCCAGAATGAGGCCCCCATTGCCCTGGGAACGTCTGGTCCCTCGCCCCAAAGGCTCACAGGCTGAAGGGTGAATGGTCACTTTGTGTCACTGCATCTGAAGGAGTTCAATCATGATCTCCACGCAAATGCAGGGAAGCTGCTGGCTTAGCATTTGCCAGCACAGGTACTGCAATCTCCTTCATGTTTACACACAGATATCCTAATGGCTGGGACCCCACTGCATGCTCTGCCAACCTCTGTAGCAAGTGGAATTAATTGCAGGATAGAGGCCCGCTGTGGAGCAGATAAGAGTGATCTAGAAAAATGACGGAGGCCAGACAGCATTAGATAAATGGTGGTGAGAAAGCCTGCATTAATAGCAGCAATACAGCTGTGTTTTCCTGAAAAGAAAGCAAGAAACTCCCTAGTGTGGACATACTTTTTGTTGGCCAAAATGCATTCTGAATTCCTCAATAGTAAGGCAGGAAGTGGTAAAATCCATCAGACTAAATGAACAATATGTTATTTTTTCCAATATCGAAAATACATTTTAGGTCATAACTATTACAGAAAAAACATTTTATGGCCAATCAGATTTATTTTTTTTTCTGACATACTAAATTTTTCAGTGATGTACAGCAAATGGAATTTCTGTACACTAAAATGTATTTCAGGAGCTTTGTTTCAGTCCAGATCAGTACTTTACGTTGTAGGTGCATTATTCAAAAGTACTCACTGCTCCTTCAAATATTTGGACAAATAGAATTGTGTTTTAGTAGTTTTCCAGTGAAGTAGCCAGAGAGAAAAGCAGAATTATAATAGGCATGAGTTTTGTGCCTTGTGTAAACAGCTGGAGTTAGGTAATTTTGGATTTAATTTTGTGACTTTGTGTGATTTTGTTTAGTTTACTCCATGACTTGCAGTCGGTGTTGACTCTGTACCACACCAGGTCTACAGCTTTGTACCTAGCTCGCCTCGGCTGGCCATTCTGAGAACCTCCTACCAAGATTTCCTGTTGACTCCATTTTAAAGGAGCTCTGTCTTTTCTCCAGTGAGTGGAAGTTACTGAGACCCACTGAGTGCTGCTGCCTGAGTTCAGTTAGAAGAGTAAACCTGCAATTCCTTCCAGCTTCTTTGCTTGTAGATAGAGAGGAAGGAGGATGCTAACTTAATAACTTCTCCCCATTGTGCCCCAGAGGTTAGGCACCTTGCCATGTACAGATGTTATCAAAAATGGAATCATTTTATAAATAAACTGTGAATTAACAACAGTGTGGATAAATGTATGCTTTGGTTCAAGACTGATGTATTCCATTCTTTGAGAACGTTCTTTAAATAAACTGAATGTTTTCATTTTGTACTTTGTTATGATTTATCACATTGTAGTTTATTTAAGTCTTTCAATGCTCTCTCTTCCATTTGCTGAACTTTAGATATGGAATTAAAACACGCTTGACTGCACAGTCTTCCTTCATATTTGAAGAAGAAGCCATGTAGCTATTACAATGGATTAAGACATCCTACATTAAAACCCTGTCACTTTTGCAACTGCATTTATGCAACAAGACAACAGTAGCTAATGGGTCCATCTAAGACACTGAATTGAATGGACAATTTCTTCATAGCTGTGGTAATTATGAATACTCTGAAAAAGGCTGCTTTGCCAGTTGTAGCCCAAGAAAATTGAATACTGTTCTCTTGTAGAAAATGCTCTGCAAGTATTCAGCCATCTTATTCCATTACATGCCATTACAAAAAAAAAGAGTGAGTTGTTTATTCATTGGAAGTTTATGCACATACACTACATCTTTTGAAAGTCCATAAATACTGCTTTAGCCTGCTTTCTGTTGAAGGCACAGGCTCAAGCTAAGAACCTTTCTAAAGGATGACTTCTCCATTTATCCACTATGGACAGCCCATAGCACTAATAGATGCATAATCATAAAAACTCAATGATCTCCAACTCTTTCATATAGGATTCCAACAGCCACCTTTGCTCTCTGGACTCAAGGCATAACAGAGTCATGGGCAGATCCGCCCATCTGCAGGAAAGGGTTTCTTTTGGGGGATATCCCCCAAAACATCAGGACCAAACTCTCAAGTCTGTTCAAACCAACTTTTTCAAGAAGTAGGGTTTTCCAGGAAAGAATGTTAATGATATTAAGGTATCTTCACAATAAAACTCCTTCTGGTGTTACCAAACATATCAACTTCCATTTGGTATTTAGTTATGCCTTCAACCATTTATTTACCCTCTAGTAATGATTCATATAACAATATAGTGCTGCCAAGTGAATTCCATTACCATGGGGATATTTGCAGATATTTTAAATAGTTGAGATAAATACAATAAACTAGAAAAACACCAAGAAATAAATTGATATAAAATGGGAGATCACTGCCTTGCAAACCAGAATTCAATACAGTGAATTTTTGGACCAGCTAGCCAACACAACAATAACTCCAGGAGCTGCTTAACAATGCACTACAGGTGGAACAATACCAGAATTCTTTTTGCAATAAATTAGTCAAAACACTTTTTAAAGAACGGTAATGTTGGGAAGTATTTGCTTCCTACACAGCTGAACCCTCTTTTGATAACATTCAGTTCTCCAGCTAGGTGTTCAAGGAAATAAAGAACACCCAGCAAGTAGCATGTAAGTGTCATGTCCAATCGACTATTTCTACCACAGTGCCTTTGGCGAAGATGAGTAATATCTGAAAACAGGCATAGGCATTAGAAATACTAGTATATTCATAAAACAGAAAGTCATGCAATTAGGCATTCCAGGTACATCTATACATATATATATATATATACACACACATATATATGAAGTGGTTTCATTTAGTATATTATAAACCAGAGGTGTTCCATGCACTCCATACAGCACAAGATTAACTATCAAAAACTGCTGTCAGGGTATAACCAAACAGTATATGCTTCCCATGTATTTGACCACAGTTTTTAACCATGTCTTTTTACAGAACGTTAGGCATTCCACTGGACTGTTAGGGGGAAAAAAAAAAGTGTTGGCAAGGAGTTTAGAAATGCCCTGTGTAGGAAGGCTCCATGCTGCCAGTTAATCCAAGAAGGATTCTTAATGACCTCATGATCCAGAAGTTATTTCAAAAAACATATCTATGATACTATGAAAATAACCCCAACCTTCATTTTTCGGAAACTAATGCAGATTATGTAGTTTGCATTAAAATTTATACACTGTAAGGAGTGTGCCTGAAGTTTGGCTCTGTAACAAGCACATAATTTCTTCAAAAACTCTCTAATACTTTACCTTTCTGTTATTACAACAATACAAGAACCTTCCTTGTCTAGAAGACCAAGGGTATGTCTTAGGTTATGCTAATGGATCTATTTTGAAACAAGCTCTTGAAATATTCTTGGCTTATATAGTGGATTCATCATCAAAAAGACCATTATCTTCCATTATGAATCCCAAATGTCTACATAACTGATTCTTTCAGAACTGTGCTCTATTTCTAGTATTGCTTGGTCATCATAGCAAAATCAGTAAGTACTTTACTCCTTATGCAAAATAGAAGTTCAAAATTATGCAATTCAGAATACAAATACAAAGAAGTAGTCTGAATTAATTTTCTTAATTTTCCTTGTTCTACATTTCCTGTTTTAATTTTTTTTCCGCATTATGCAACAATAATTTAACTAAGTGGATTAAACTATAATGTATTTTGAGTATTTCTATACTGTTACATTCATATTTTAGCTCTTTGTGGTTTTCTTACAAAACATAGTTTTGAGATTTTTCTTCTCTTAACAGAGAGATTTGTCTGTTCAAGACTGTATAATGCCTTAGACTAATTGCAAAATTTCCACTGTCATCAGTGGTAGTAGCCTTCAGCTAGTCCCATGTGTAAACAGATGCCAACCTCACACATGGTTTAAAAAAAAAGAGTTTGCTTTCTACTGATAAGTATTTTATATCACCTTTTGTTGCAAAGGATAAGTGAGTAGCTCTGTTGGATTAACTGGAGCTATATGCACAGGTGCGTTCAGCTTCATGGCTGCCACTAGATAAACTATCACCAGAGCCCAAATGACAGGTAAAAATAAGTCATCCTCCAACAAAAGCAGGAGATAAAACCAACCAGTGAATTAGAAAAGATTGTATTGATTGGTTCTAGCAAGGGCTAGGGTTCAGCAACTGGCTTTAGGCTTGAACCTAAAAGCCATATGCACAAGGAATATCTGAAATTGAAAAGTGCGATTGAGTATCCAGAGCTACTTTCAGGAGGCATAGGGTTGGTAATCTGGTGCCGAGGCACCAATAATTTTGTTCATACAGAGTAGCTACTCAGAAAAAAACCTGGAAGGATGGTCTAACTACTTTGGACAAATGACATGTGTTTGTGTGGTAGACTAGATGGGAGCGGTGGTACAAGCCCTTCTCTCTGTGAAATCCTTTGCTCCTAATGGTTGTGATAAGCAATTCATTTAAGTGCCAGGTGCAGCCTCAAAGTGTGGATCTGGGAGCCAAGTCACATGCCGGTCAGAAGGGTAAGTGCAGTGCTGGTCTCGGGACCTGCCTACCCAGAGGGAGCAGGGTCCAGGCTGGTCCGACTTGCAACACAAAGGGAGGGACTTGTTGCTTTGGAATGAACTTGGAGAGGACTCCAGACTGTAGGTATCCCAGTAACCATATCAGAAGCTAGAGTCACATTTTCATAGGTAAAGGAAAGAGAACAAATTGACGAAGTGATTAAAATGCCAGTAAGTGGCACAATCTGCAACACTTGGCTTCAGTCGTTCAGCATTTCTACTCAAGGCTTTGATGTGGCATACTGCTACCTCAAGTCTAATGTCAAGTACTAGTATTTGCAAGGACAAAGCCCAGTTCAGTGTTCCTAGGGTGATGCAGATGTCCTTTAATTGAAAGAGGACAGCTGGAAAATACAAAGCCAGAGTGCTGGGACCACAGTGGCACAGGGTACACAGTACTTCTTTGCCATCAGAACCTGTCATTGACTTTACTTTTTATAGAAAGAATGTGCTGATATGAGTGAAGAGAATAAAGAGCTGACTACTGTACATACAGAACTGATGTTTCCATTCATTCTGTAATGTTTTACTGTTATTTATTCTGTAATATTTGATTTATTCTGTAATATTTCACATATGGAATTAGCCCCCCCCCCCTGCCATGTCTATCATTTATGCAGGAAATTAATTTTAAGCTCATTAATTCATTTTAAGAAAAACTACTTTTCTTTTGGAAAGCATAGCTCCTTTCCTGAATTTAAAAAAAAAAAAGGTAATAAAATGTCACATTGCATTACATGTCTAAGTATTTTTTTTCCCTAATCCAATATGCAAAGTATGACAGCAGTACCTTATTCTGCACAAGGAAGCACTTGCTAATATAAATAGGCAGTAAGCCCAGCTCCCCAAAGGCCCTGCTGTCGCAGCGGTGGCAGTGTGAGTAGACTCTTCATGCCCATCAAGCCCTGCTCAGACACAACCGCTCATCAGTGCCCGCTCGTCTGCAGCACTGGTTATTAATGATTACGCATCTGGGAATATGGAAAGCCTCTTAAGGATTTACTGAGACCTGCCCAACCCCAGTGGGGTTTACTTATTAACAAATAAACAAACGGAGAACTGGAATTACAGGACGCGTGCCACACACTATCGCCTTGCTCCTGGCCGTCCAATCAGTCACTGCTATTGCCTGCAAGCAGAGGGGTGGAAGGGTGAGAGGGGCCTTTGCTCAAGGCTCCGACTCCCCGGTGTAGGAAATAAATTTTCCAATCTGTGAGCTCACCATCTTGCAACTGTGACTGTTGTACAAACAACGTTATTAGATAGTGCATTTTTCAAACAGTTTAACACTACTGGAAGCCTAGGTGTTTCCAGAGCCGCCAGTCTCACACGGGATGAAGGAAGCTGCCATAAAGGTGTATCTCACCTCACTTAAGGAAGTAATCGTTATTGGTGTGAGTGCACGGCTAAGGGTTAGGCTGCCTTCCCGCTTCTACTGATCTATATTCCCTGCTACACAACTATAACTGCACAAAGCAACCATTTTCTACCTTAAACAATAAGTGCATGTGTGTGCCTCTCACAAGGATCACATCATTGGGTCGTAATCTATCAAAGCCTCTTTCTTTAGATAATTGAAGTAATGGATGTATACCAGGACGATACAGTAAACACACTACAAAACAAGAGATGCTGTATTTTTCCCGTAGCAATTGTTCAATAGAAGCCTGTGTTCATAAGTTTTACAGTGTTTTATAAGCATTTGCTGATGAATGCATCTCTTTCTTATTGTTTTTTGAGCACTTTTTTTAAAGAGCAAATGGCAAAACTTAAAAGGGGGCCAAGAGGTGTACATTTTATGTTGCTTCATTTGCATATCTGTAGAATAATCTTGTAGGTGGCAGCCAAAGAAGACAGCCGTGATGGCAGCAACAACAATAGTTAGGATAGAATCATAGCATCATAGCATCATAGAATCATAAAATCATAGAATGGCCGGGGTTGGAAGGTACCTTTAAAGATCATCGAGTTCCAGCACCCTTGCTGTGGGCAGGGACACCTTCCACTAGACCAGGTTGCTCAGAGCTCCACTGAACCTGGCTTTCAACACTTCCAGGGATGAGGCATCCACAACTTCTCTGGGAAACCTGTTCCTGTGCCTCAGCACCCTCACAGTAAAAATTTTTTTCCTAATATCTAATCTAAACCTATCATCTTTCAGTTGAAGCCATTCCCCCTGGTCCTGTAACATGCTTTTGTAAAAAGTCCATCTCCATCCTCTTTGTAGGTTCCCTTCAGGTCCTGGAAAGATGCAATTAGGTCACTTTTAAGCCTTCTCTTTTCCAGGGTGAACATACCCAATTCTCTTAGCTTTTCATCCCAGGAGAGGTGCTCCATCCCTCTAGTTGGTTAGCATGGTGCTTGTGAGTTTGCAAGGATTTTCTGGCCTCCTCTGAACACAGAAAAGCACGACAAATACAGGCCTGACTCTGGAAACCTTTATGCAAACAAGTAGCCCTACTGCCTTGGTATGTCTCCAAATAGGAAAAGGTTGATGGACAAGGTATCGGGGCCCAGTTAGATGACACTAGATGCCTCATACTACTGTTAGCATGCATATTACCATTGCATTAGGCAATTTCTTGTGCTAGTGAACAAAGCAAAAAGGCAGCATTTACAAAAAAAAACATCCAATGTAAGGAGCAACAGATGTCCAAGAGGCAACACAGTACAACGACTAGAGACGTTTCTGGTCAGCATGACAAGCAGCGGTCAAAGAGTGGTCAAGGTGGTGGTGGACATTATTGCAAATCTGAGATTTAAGGGTGGGTTCAAAGGAGGATGCTGTGCTCATTTTTCACTGCTGAGCATCCTCAGGCCCCTATCTTGCAAGAGCTGCGCTGTTTACAGGAGCGAGAATTTAGGACTTCACCCAGCTGGTGTAACGAAACTGGTTGTTTCGGCAAGACATTGCTTGGTACGCAGAGATCTGCTACACTTGCGCAGCAGCTCAAAAGGATGCTGCATGCATCGGACTCACTGAGCCAGCATGATTCAGTCTGGAGATGTACCACGTGCCCTACAGAGCCAGGAGGTATCGGAGTGGCCATGCAGGAGCAAGTCAGCGGGCTACAAGCGCAATAATTCCATCACATCCCATACTGGAGCTAATGATATGTGCAAATTCACCTAGTGAGTCATGTCTGCTTGCAGTAAAAGAAAATACAAAAACAAAATAGTATTCCTATGTCTCACTGGCAAGAAGAGACTGAAACTGGCTAGGCTGGTTGGGAACCAACCTGGCGGCAACCCTAGTTAGGAGATTTTCTAAATAAGGTGAGTGGGTTTTGTTTCTGTATCTGAAGACAAGAGAGACACAAATGGGGTTGAGTTATAGCAGGTAGCATCCTACATTTAAGTTTGGAAAGCCTTTTATTAATTTAACAAAAAGCAGTTTCAAAATTGTATCTTCCATCTTTGAATCAAACAGAATCTAAAGAGTCCTGAAATTTACTTTTTGAGTTCAGTTTTTTTAAAGTTCAGTGACATACTTTGTGAAGTCTTTTGCTTTTGAAGGAAGAACAGCAGATGGCTACAGGAATGGAAAGTTTGGATTTATTATATTGTGTACACAGTACACAGTATTCTTCAAACCTCAGGGATCCATTTGCATTTGCTTTATTTCTCAAAATGAACACAATTTTGCAGAATCTTCCAAACCCTGTGAATTGCTGTATGAAAAGAGATACCCCCCACACATACACTGCTATTCACAACACAGAAAAATGGGACATTAACCTCATATAAAACCCACTGGCTTGCATCTTGCTTCCTCATTAAGCCTGTGCCAGTTTTGCAGTAGATTTCAAAGGTGCAAGCTCACTTGTGTTTATGATCAATCCACAAAGTAATGTTTTACTTAAAAGGGAATTCCCCAAAAAGCA